CCTGGAGGACTGACCACTGCAGAGCAGGGAGTGCTATTGAGATGTTGGCAATAAGAGAGAAAATCAAATTTATTTCTGTCCTACATTCCATTGACTTAAATAAGTTTGCATGCAAGAAAACATGTTGCTGCTGAAGATGGGAATACAGTGCTTTTCTAATGCACTTTAAAATAACTGAGGGCTATGTGTTGCGGCACAGGAGGGTAAGTTTCTGCCTGCAACGCCACCAGCATCCCACATGGGTGCAGGTTTCAGAACCGGCTGCTCCACTTCCGATCCTGCTCTCTGCTAATGCACCTGGGAGGGCAGTAGAAGGTGGTCCAAGTACTTGAGCCCTTGTACCCACGTGGGAGACCTGGATGAAGCTCCTGGCTTCAGCCTGGCCCTGCCCCAGCCGTTGTGACCATTTAGGGAGGGAATCAACAAATGGAAGATCTTTCTCTCTGCCTCTCCTCCTCTCTAACTCTGCTTTTCAAATAAATTAAATAAATAAATTTTTAAAAATCAAAAAGAAATAAAATATGTAATAGCTCAATGTTAAAAAATGGTACCTGTCTGTAGACCACCTATGTCATCACTTGGATCCCGCACACCTCTCTTGAGTAATAAATCGTAATCACAATGGTAATGATAATAACAGCTATGACAGACATGGAGCTCCCTGTGGGCCAGGCACTCCTCTGAGCACTTTTGCACAAAGCAGCTAATGTGATCCTGGTGACAACCAGCTGAGGAGCTGCTGTCACTCATCTACAGATGGGGAAACTGAGGCACCGGGAGGTTGAGTGACACTCAGCTGTGCTGTGGCAGAGTCAGATTAGGACCCGGGCGGCCCTGCTCTACGTCCTGGCCTTGAACTCTTCCATGCTGGCGTCTCTGCTGTTGCTTTGCTTCCTCCAGTGCCTGTGGCCACTTTGGGCTGGACACTGACCCACACTTCTTGAGGATGGGCGGAATCTGGATGAGCACTCAGTACACAGCAGGTGCTTCGTAAATCAGAGCTGTTGTTCCTGATCCACATCCATCAGCTCCATGAAACATCTTGGCCTCACGGGAAGTGGCCAGGGAAGGTGCTTTGGTCCCATTACATAGTTGAGGAAGCTGAGGCTCAGTGCATGCCAGGGTCACACTCAAGGTCACACAGCTGACAGGGGAGCCCAGCATCAAACCCAAGGCCTCCAGGTCAGGTTCCTGTCTCCCAGCGGTGCCTAGCCTGACGATGCTGAGTTGCCTGGAGATGATGACTGAGCAAGAAATGATACTTGGTAACTTGTTTTGAAGGCTTGTCTCCTTGGGGCCACTGTGTCTTCTCTGAAATTACTCTGTTTTCCCCTAAGGAGGCTTGCCAGGACTGGCCCCTAGCCTTGGTGGGAAGGGGTCAGAGGGGGGACAGGCAGGATGCAGCAATTCCCTCTCTCGCTCCTTTCTCTCTTGCACTCTCGGCTCTCCACTTCATGTCCTGTTCTGCCTCTGACTGATCGTCCGACTGTGCTCCTGCAGGTCTGGCCGGTGACATTGCCTCCTGGTGATAGTGCATCCCCGGAGGCCTTGAAGGAGGAAGAGGACAGAGTGAGTAAGGCATGGAGTTCAGGAGACAGAGCCCAGTGGTCAGGCTCAGCTTTGAGCATCAGTTCTGTCTCTAGAGATCCCTCCTGCGTGTACATGTGCAGGGGTGCATGTGTGTGTGAGTGCGTGTATGCGCACACGCAGGTGCACACACATGCACACAGTACTGTTCAGAGTAGGTTGCAGCATGACCCCGTGTTGGGTCCTTTGTGCAGGAGGGAGCCCAGTTGTGATTCCTGTGGGCTCCTCAAGTTGCCTGGCCGACTCGCTCTGTTGGTTTCCTTTTGCTTCTGTAACAAATAACCACAACCTGAATCATAAAGTCATGGTTTTGGCAGCAGGGCCGTGTTCCTTCAGGAGGCTCTAGGGGACGGTCTGTTTCTTTGCCTTTCCCAGCGCCCAGAGGCTGCCCACATCCTCTGTCTCCAAGACCCGCAGCATAGCACCTGTCCCTCTCCTCCTCCTTCCCTGCCCCACCACCACATGTCCTCTCTCACTCTGACCCTCTGGCCCGCCTCTTGGAAGGACCTTGGTGGTGACATTTGACCTAAATAACTTGTCCCCATTTGGAGCCCTCCCAAATCTTCCTATCCCCAGATCCTTAACAGTCCTCCTGGCCACATAGGATAACACATTCATCACCTTTAGTGGTTGGGTGTGGACATCTTCGGGGCTGTCATGCTTCTTGCTGCACTTGCTCAATGCAGTGGGAACCTCCTTTCTTCCTGGGCTCTCTCAGTACCATCTCCTTGGGGGACAAAGAGTGAGGGACCCTTCCTCCCCTCCTAACTATGTCGCTTGGGGCAAGTCACCTGGACTCTCCGTGTCTAATTTCCTCATCTGTAAAATGGGTAAATACCACAGCAACCTCACTGCACTGTTGTAAGTCAAGAATAGCCCTGGGGTGATGGAGTATGGCACCTTGCAACCACTAAGCCCCCAAAGCCAACAGGACAGACCCTTGTAATAGGATCATAATCCCAGAGGCTGTTGGTTCAGGTTCCATCCCCAACACTCATGAACCAAACGGCCTCAGGCGGCTTAATTGCTTTAGGCACCTGGGTCTCAGTTTTCTCACTTGTAAAATGGAAATAAAACCATGACCCTCTGAACCCAGGATTGTGGTGGAGATGAAATAATATTGGCGCACAGGAACCACCCAGAGCACGGTGGGCAGCTTTTGTTGTCACAGTTATCACCGCTGTCATCATTTCTCATCCTCCATGGGGTGGAGGAGTGTCTTAATGAACTACCTCTGACATCAGCAGAACCAGGGCGGAGCAAAGCAGGGCCCCGAGAAACCTCTTTGCAATGCTCCATGTCTGAATGGAGACTGGGGGAAGCAGAGCCTGCCTAGGCTCTGGCTTGCGGAGTCCGGTTTCCAGGCATCTCCATGCTGCAGTACTACACAGGCATCAGAGCTGACGGCAGCAGCCGGTTCTTCGAATGAAGAGGTGTCCACAGGAACTGAGGACAGGAGAGGGGCTTAGAGGTGGACAGCACAGAGGTGAGGGAGGGGTGCACAAGGCCACCTGAGAAAGTGGGGCAACTTCCTGGACAGCACAGGCACCAGGGAGGTGCAGAGCTCTGGTTTCAACCATATTATTATTATTTCATTTTGCTGCAAAGTCCTTGTTTCAATGGAGGCTTGGGCACATGCCCGGTATGCAAAAACAGTGAAAAGCACAATTGTTCCAGTTGAAACCAGACTGGGGGTCAACTCAGGCCTCCTTTTCACTTCCACAGGAGACTCTGTGGGGCCTGGTTTGAGAAAAACTGACAGCGTGGTTGAAAAAAACAAAGCATAGACTTCGGAGTCAGACCCACGATTTGCACCCTTGCCTCTGCCTCTCCCTGGCTGTGTGAGCTTGCGAGCTTCTCTCATCTGAACATGGGGCAACAGGAGCCCGCTCCCCATGTAGCTGGAGCTGGCAGGCTGCCCAGCACATAGTAGGTGTTAGACAGCAGTCAGGTAGGACGACGTGAATCTACAACAGACCTCTCTGACAGTGCAGGCCCAGTGGCCAGGAAATCTGTGGGTGGGCGACTACTGGGATCTGATTCCATGACCAGCATTCTGTGTGAGTTGTTTTTCTCTCTAGCATTTTCAGTTACTCTTCAAATGCTTACTGGGAGCTTACTGCGTACCTGGGACTGTCATAGGTATATAACACAGATCTTGGCATCTGAAAGGCTTGGATCTCACACTCAACACTGCCAGCTCCCAGCTCCTTTGCTGTGGGAAAGTCATTGCCCCACTCTGGTCCTCATCTGTGAGATGAGGGGACGGAAGTTATACAATGGGTCTTCCCAGAAACTATTCAATGTGACATTTCCAAACAACATAGAATGGTTGATTTGAGCTGAGATGGAGATGTGCTGAGACTGCAATCATACAACCCTGGGCTTCTACACCCACCACTTGCAGTGTTCCCTTGAGCAAGGCACTTTCTTGAGTTTCAATTTTATCATCTATAAAATGGGGATACTAATAGTATTCTCAGAAGGTCAAGATGTAGACTCAGGAAATGATAGAGGTAAATTCCTAGCAGAATATCTGGCATGTGGTAGGTTCCCAGTAGCCTCTATAACCATCACTGCCAGCCCCACTGCCACCATCACCATCAGCATCAGCATCACCATCATCACTAATCATTGCCAACACCATCGTCACCATCAGTATCATCACCACAATCATTGTCACCATCATCAACCTGAGTTGTCTGATTTAAAACTCCTAAAATTTCCAAGCTTCATCCTCATCGGGCCACATGATGAAGGGAGGAGGTTGACACGTGTCATTCTGGGTTGGCTGTCAATTCCTTTATCCTTTAGTAAAAATATTTGAGTTGTAGGACAGGTTACAGATCATGGACTCATAGCAGTCCAATATCTTGGAGCTCTTAATTTTGTTTTTTAGCCTCTTGCTTCCTTCCTATCTTTAAGGAAATAAGATCGTCATATCTTCATTTTATATAGGGGGCTTGGAAACATCAAATGATTTTTCCAAGGTTGTTAGGGGCTCAATCTGGCTCCCAGAAACCTTTCAAGTGGTTATTCAAATAACCCGTCCTGTTATCCGTTTCCCGAGCCTTGTCTGTTCCACTCTCAATTCCGAGTGACACAAGGTACAGGTAAGAAATCTGCAGCCATGCGGGTGAGGACAAACCAGCCTGGCTGAACTTTGTCGGGGAGAACTCATGGTCGAATTCTTTTCTGAGCAGGGAGAAGCAGTGGAAGTCTGGGTGTGTGCTGCACAGCTCCTTTGCTCAGCAAATGAGCAACAGGATTAGCACAGTGTGGTAGGTAGGCTGTCACTCGACTGTGTGATTTTGACTGTCCCTCTGGCCTCCCCTTCCCTGCTCTAACTGCCTGTAACTTCACTTCTCTGCCGGGGGTTGGTGTCCCGCCCATCCCTTCCTCCGCTGCATCTCAGCGCTGTCCGCGGTGCTGACCGCCGATGCGCTGATTGCTGTTTCCACCAGCTGGGATCTCTGGAGCGAGCACCCAGCCTCCCCTGCCGGCTTCCCACCTTTCTTTTCTCCAGGCACTGCACGCATAAATCACGGGTGGGAAGCAGGCTTGGTTCCCCCTGCTCTGGGAAGCTGCTGCCCCCTCCCTCACTCACACAGCGTTTTGCAGTACTGGTGGCTGCCACCGCCGAATCAGGCGCTGGGGAAGCGATTGATTCGTCTACTGCCAGCAGCCCGGAGTTGCCTACGCGGACAGGAGAGGGAGCGAGAAGAGAGGAGATAGGGAGACAAGGGGGGAGAGGAGGGGAGAGAGAGAGAGAGAGAGAGAGAGGCAGGCAGAGGCTTACAGACCATAAGCCTTCGTCCATGAGGACAGACTACAAGATCCACCGTCAGCCTTGTCCACCGACTCTCTGACCGGACTCTTCCAGCAGTGGTATTTCTTTTTGTCTTGGTCTTGCAGGATTTAAAGTTAGTGTGTCTGTTTCTGTGTGTGTGTGTGTGTGTGTGTGTGCATGCTGGTGCCGTGATTTTATTTTGGGAAGAACAGGAGAGTCAGATGAACAATTTTCTTTCAGGCACCTCTGCTGAGCTTTCGGACCAAGTCATCAGGACTTAGCGTCTTCCCTCCCAGCAGCTGAGGCAGGAGTGGGCGCGAATTTGGCTCACCCATTCCCCCTGCAGTCCTCCAGTGTTGCGGTGAGTGACATATTCTTCTCAGCCATGCAAATGGGCTAGCGGTATTGGAATCCCAGTTGTGTGTGTGCAGGAGCTGATGGGGTACAGGGTCGTTGGGAGGTGAGGGGTAGTGGCCACGTTTATCTGCCCACAATCTGCAATGTTTGATCACAAAGTGGCACCCCAAAGCCAAATGAGGTTTCTGCTCGGTGCCCAAGGAGGGGTAAAGTGTGCTCATATTTTTGGTGATATGATCAAGACTGTGGCTTATGCCCAATTTACCCTTTTCCTAGCAGCAGAAGCTCTTGAAAGTAGCCAGCAGTTTTCTGAGTGAGTTAACCCTTTGTGGTTAACTCACTGGCCAGTCTGATGTAGTAGGTCCTGCATTTCTGATTTTGTGGATGAGCACTGGGGTTCTGCACAGGAGGGCACTTGAGAATTACAGGCTAACCCTTGCCTGGGCACACTGGGTGAAGCTTGCATAGGATGGCTTCAACTGTGCCAGGCATAGCTGAGTAATTTAATTGTGGTGATTTCTGCAAGGTTGGCTATTCTGGGTTTCCTGAGATGGGAGACCACACTTTGCTTGGAGCAAGGGGTCAAGAAGACCAGAATGGAGCAGCCGGTTACCTGCTGAGCAGGTGCTGTAACCTGTAACGATCGTATGGGTGGTACCTCCTGGCACTGGCATGGGAGTCTGTCAGGGGAGTGGGAGAGGGACAGAGCTCGATCAGATTCTAGAGGAGGGTCCCGGGCTCCAGCATCAGATCTGTTCCTGGGCAGGCCACCTGCCCTGGGCCAGCTGCTGCTTCTGAGATCTTGAATTGGGGTAAGCCTGGACCAACCTGTTAGTGAGTGGGAAGCGGAGGAACTGAATCCAAAAGCTCACATTTAATTTTGAAATGTCTTGCAGCTGATCTGTGACCCATCAAAAGGGGATTTCTCTTTGCTTTCTGCTTTAATTACATCTACCTTTCTGGAAATGAATATCCTTATTTTTAGCATCTTTGCGATGATCTCAGGGACCACTTCAGCCTTCTGCTTCCCCAAGGATTTCCTCTTTAGGTTCTTGCTGTGGGAGGTGGGGGGGGGATAACACACCTGCCGCAGAGATGGGCAAGCCTGAAACAGAGTGGGGTCCATTCAGTCCTTTTCTGCCCCAGAGCCAGGAGGGGATGCAGAGGTCCTGAGGCTTGTGCCTGGACAGGCGGGATGACAGGAGGAGGGGGAGGGTCACTGGGCGGTTAGCACCAAGATTCTGTCACCCCCTGACCCTGACTTCTCTCTGGGCCTCCCTGGCTGGGTGACCTTGAGGAGGAAGTAGCCTTTGCCTCCCCCCGGGCAGCCTCAAGCGTGAATGATGAATGGGAGCAGATTTGGTTCAAAGAAGGAGCCACAGATCTGGCCATGGGTGATGTGAGATATTGAACTTGAGCCTTCACTGATCAGAAGGGACCATGGCTGGGGCCCTGGAGTCAGGGGTGGGGGGTGAGGGGAAGGGGCTTAGGTGTCCCCCCTGCTGTACTGTTAACCATTTAATGCTGGGTTGGGAGGAGGGTTGCAGGGATCTTGGACAGTTAACCAAGGGAGCCACGGGGGGCCTCAAGACAGCCTCACCCACCCTGCAGGATATTTTTACTGCTTAAACATCCACTTCAGCCATGCGGGGTCCACAGTCCTGCTGAAGCAGCTGGGACTGGGTTGTTCCGATGCGGGCCCCTCCCAGCCCTCTGCCTGCTCTCTTACTTCCTTGAGGGTGGCTAAGATCCAAGAGGCTGCCCTCCCTCCTCCCCATCACGTTGGAAGTGGTGCATTGTGGTGCACCAGAGGAAGGGACAGGGAGGTTTCTGGAAAGAGCTTTGGACTCAGATCAGGAGCCTGGGCTGCAGCCTCAGCTTGGTCCCCTCTTCCTGGGCCTCAGTTTCCCCATATGGACAATGAGGCAGCCACTCGAGGTGACCCAAGGTCCTGTCCAACTCTGAGGTCCTGTGACTATGCGATGGGTGTGTGTGTGTGTGTGTGTGTGTGGCCGACATTTCTAGGAAGAGTTAGCACTGTGTTTGGGAATTCAGAATGGCTGTTGGAGAGGCCCTGTTTGAGATGAATCAGGACTGGGGCAGGGCGTCTCTTGTGGGAACTTCGTGCGGTTCCTAAAATCCTGTGGCCAGGGGAAAGGGGTCTGCTCTGTTTATGGCCTCAGCTGTGTAGATGTGTGGATTTTTGTATCACTTGAAGATTACGTGACGACTTCTCTTGGGGTAACAGCAAGGACCCCCTTGGAGACTCTCCGCCCTGCAAAGATGCCCAGCACACAGACACACAGCATCAGGGTATCTGTGGATCCCCCCAGTGCCTGTCCAAACACCCCAAGTTCAGAGCCTTTGATTTAGTGCCACCCCTCTCAAGGGGGCCCAGAGAGGGACAGCAGCTTGCCCAGGACCACACAGCAAGTCATGGTTCAGCAACACATGGGTCCACCATTACCAAAGCCAAGGCATCGCACCCCTCACCCCTGCTGGGGCTCCCATGGCCCCCTCCACCTGAGCTGCTCCAGGCGGGGATCGAGTCGCTTCTCTCCTGCCCGTGCTGGGAGGGGAAGCTTGATCCGGAGACAAGTGTGGACACTTCCTTTCTCACTGGCAGTGGGGAGGCAGAGATCAGAGACCCTGCAACCCCAAGGGGTGGCCTGGAAAGCCGGGCCCACAGCCTGCTCTGTGTTTGTCCTTACCGTGCTGTGCACAAGCTGGAGGCCTTGGCTGTGGCTGCCCCGGGGGTCATTCGTAGGCTGTGACATTGCTCTTGATTTAGCCCTACCGCTGTCTGTATGTGGACCACAGAGAGCTGGTGGCTACCTGTGAAGCTCGCCATGACACAGGGACGGGCCACCAGCTCTCACTCCCTGTTGCGTGGGGGAGCCGGTCACAAATGCAGACGAGTGAGGGGTTGTTGGAAAGGCAATGGGGAGACAGCACGGTTTATTTCTGTGAAGAACTGTGGCTGTAACCTGGGCTAAAAATAAACCCGGGACCCAGTCGAGGTGGGCTGGAGCCGAGGAGCTTCAATTATTCACTGCTGCCCAGGATGGAGAGGGAGCCTGGGTGTGCAGAGACTGAAGGAGGAACCACAAAAATAGCCCCTTTTCCTGTCCCCACCCGGGTGCCTCCCCAGCCTCTCTGTGAGCCTCCGGGAGCTGCAGCGCGGGGAACAGCAACCTCTCTGAGGCTCGGCTTTTTTGTTGGGTGTGTTGGGGTAGCGCAGGGTCCAGGGTAAGAACGTGGGCTCCAGGACTACGAGCAGCTCTCCCGAGCTTGGGGGGTGGTGGTGGTGGTCCCGCTCCCCGGTTGTGTTGTTTCACCGCTCTGGCCTCAGTTTCCCCATCTGGGAAATGGAGATAATAGCAGAGTCGTGAGTACCGCAGGAGCTAATGCTTACAGAGTACAGGATATTGAACCTCACAAGGAGTGAGATGCCTCGGTGTTAGCAATGGGTTAATGCGGCTGACAGTGGTCACCCCGATCAAAACGTGGTGGGGTGAAATGGAGGGAGGGTCGTTCCCTGGGCCAGGTGTGCAGTGGGGGGCCAGGGAGAGAGGATGAGGCTTGGAGAGAGGAGGCTTCCACTCCCTCTTGTTCCCCACAGGGATCCTGGTGCAATGGCTGGAGGTCCTTGGGCCTCATTTTCTTCATCTGTGAAATGGGTGTGCGGTCCCCTTGCCCACAGGCCCGAGAGGCTGCACGCAGATCACCGGGCATCCGTGAGCGTGGCAGGCAGCCCCACAGGGGAGTTCTGGGAGGAAGCCAACTGCCTGCTCGGAATCTTTTGTCCCGCTTCCAAATCCCTGGGAGGTTTTTGCTGAATCATCCCAACCTCTGAGCTCTGAGCTGTGGATTTTCTCTAGGAAATCGCAGCTTTGCCTTCGCTCCCTGGGAGCGCTTCCCCTGCCACGGGGCTCCTCTGCAGGGCTCCTGAGGGGCTCCAGGGCGAGGGGCTCACAGCCCCGGCGGGGCTTTCCGTCTGGGGACTGGAGCCAGCATACAGCAGGTGCTCAGCAAGGAGATCACAGCTGACCGACTACTGGACGGGTCAGGTTGGGAGCTGCCTTTGGATCTTGGTCCGGTCTGTTGCCTGCATGCAGTAGGCACTCAGTGTTTGTTGATTCTGATGAGTCATTGGTGAAGGGCTGGTGGAAAGGTCTTGCTCTCCTCTGTCATCTGCTTCATGTCTGTCTCCTGCTAGAGTGCTCACTGCCATCTGCGCACACATTGTGCACTTACTGAGTCCCTGCCCGTTCCCATGGTGGGCACTGGGACTAAAAGGTGGCAAAGGCTTAGAGAACATTGGTGGCTGCCTACCGGATGTGGAGCGGTGGTACAAAGAGGGTCTCCTTAGTCACCCCAGCACTTGGGTCCTGACACCTGCAGTTTCACTCTTCGTCTTGAGGCTTTGCTCTTGGTTCAAGGGCAGATGCTGGTGGGTGGGCTAACACATGCGGCCTTCTCAGGCATTGACATTTAGTGAGAAGTCCCGGTGGCCTTTCCTAAAAGTGACACAGAATTTTTAAAAAATTATTCATTTATTGGAAGGGGAGGAAGAGAGAAAGGTAGTTAGCTCCCATCCTCTGGTTCACTCCCCAGATGTCCGTGGTGGCTGGAGATGAAGCTGAGAGCCAGGCACCCAATCCAGATCTTCTATGTGGGTGGCAAGAACCCAGTTATTGGAGCCGTCGCCAGTGCTTCCCGGTGTCAGCATTAGCAGGAAGCTAGAGCCAGGAGCTAGAGGCAGGAATGGGACCCAGGTGCTCTGGTGTGGGACATGGACATCTCACTGCAAGGCTGCACACCTGCTCCAGGTCTTGCTTTTCAGACGGGGAGCACAGCCGGCTGACGCCAAGCCTTGCAGGCGAGAGAGGGTGCAAGGAACAGAGGGAGGAGGACATTGTGGGTGAAAAACTCTCGCCGCCCAAGGGAGCCTGGTGCAGCCCGGTGCGCCAGAGTCAGGGGTTCTCAAAGGGTGGTCCTCCC